GGGGGGGGGAGTCTATCTTTCAAAAAGCTCCCACTGGCTTATTTCCCTCCTAATACCTTTGGAGACAGGACGGAGCAGCGCCACACGCAAGGGGTCCTAGGGATCTGGGATCCCAGATTCCTAAGTCAGTGTCCCTTCCTTTTGATTATGCTTTCTAGGTGGCTATCCGCCCCCAAATGGCCACATCAGCAATGATTATCCTCTGATATGCTCTATAGCTAATTGTCAGTGCTGTTTCCTACAGCACTGACTAGCTTACTCTCAATCTGATTTGGTTCATCTGTCATTAATGCTACTATCGTCAAACACTTTTCCTAGTGCCCATCTGTGCATGAAGCTATGCCAAGCACCATACAGAGTCCTTGCCCTCCTGATGCTGAATCTCCTTCCTGGAGAAGCCAAAGCCAATCTTGCCTTCATGATCTGATCACTCTGGTGGGCTCATCAAAGAGTGTGGGGAGTGGATGGGGGCAGTCAGCACACCAGAAACGTTACCTTGCAGAAGCATTCTGGGTGATTTTCCTTCATTGCCAACATCAAGAACATCCCTCCCATATTCCACAGCAAGGGTGGCAGTTCCTTTTCTCCTAATCCACAGGCTGCTGAAAACCTTTCCAACAGGGCTTCCAGTGTCAGCAGGCGCACTTCAGGGAAGGAAGACTCTAGCAGCTGAGAGAAGGAGATGGGGACGTCCCGTGTCTGCTCTTCAGCCTGGACGGCCACTGTACACACTGCAGCAATGGCTAGTTTGGTGAGGCTCTGGAGGTACTGGGGCAGGCCTGGCACCGTGAAGGTATAGGGGAATCCCGTTAGTAGCTCTGATCCTGAGATGATCTTTCTGACTTCCTCCCATAAGCCAAGGTGCTCCAGGACTAAAAAGCAAAAAAACCAAAGGTAATCACTTTATTCAAAGTTCCACAAAAGGAGTTGGGAAAAGGCAAGGCTCTGGATACACTAGGTGGGCCTTTTGGATACCTTCTCTGAGTACATTTCACATATATGATGTAATAAGTGACTTGCCCACTAAGGTTCAAACTTCTGGTCCAAAAGCAATTTCTATTTGGGTAACTCACACTATTAGGTAACTCATACTATTTCCCTTAGGGGGACAAAAGGCATTCCCATTAGATGTGCTCCTTGCACCCCTCCTCGACATTCAGTCAGTATGAACTCAGTGACCTCTTAAATCCCCAAACCTCAAAGCTAAGCTGGATAAAAGGACATCTAGTCCTAACTTCCTCCAGGGGCTCAGATCCCCTCTACAGCATCTCCTCAGAGGCTCTTGGTTAAACCCTACAGTGACTTGGGGCTCACATAACAGACTCTTTCATTGTTAGTACATCTACTGGCCTAATTCTGCATTTTGAGGTTCCCAATGAGCCCTTTAGGCATTTGCATACAGTTATTACACCCCCTCTGTCTTTTCCAGATGAAACACCCCTACTTCCTTCAACTATTCACCATATGATAGGGTTCGCCTTCTCTCACTATTCTAACTGCCTTCCTTTGGACATGCTTCACTCCCTCTTAAGGCACGGCCGCATGGAGTGGAACATGACCCTTCGGTGCGGTCTGGCCAGCAGGACTGTTACTTTCCCTGTTCTGACCCTGGGTTGTGGGAGCTGCATCACATCACACTGTTGGCTCATGCGGAGCATGAAGTCCACTGGAACCACAGCCTTTCTTTTCTTGCATGGTCTACAGATGCTGGTGAGTCATCTTTCTCCCACCTTGTACTCAGTACTGTATTAGATCCAGACTTATTTTATTTCTTTCTTTGCTTTAAACCCAAGTATATCCTGTTAAATTTTATCTTCCTGCCCGGTGGGGCGTGGCTCAGCAGCTGAGCACTGACCTAGAATCCAGGAGATCGAGGTTCGATTCCCGGTCAGGGCACATGCCCGGGTTGTGGGCTCAATCCCCGGTCGAGGGCGTGCAGGAAGCAGCCGATCAGTGACTCTCTCATCATCGATGTTTCTAGCTCTCTCTCTCCCTTCCTCTCTCTGAAATCAATAAAGATATATTTAAAAAAAAATTTATCTCCCTGTTAAGTTTTATGGTCTGCCTTTCAGATTGCCAAGATCTTTGTATTCTTGGTTCTGATAAAAAATTCTTAGAGTCTGCTTACTAGGTGCTGGATGCTAAATAAAAAACAACAACACTACCCTTGAGGAATTTATGGTCTGTTTTGAGAAAGAGAAATGAATGAGTAGGTAATTCCAATATAGTGGTGTCATCCAAGTCTTAAAGGGGAAGAAAGGGTTGGAACCACTGAGGGGCAGAGCAAAGACTCAAAGGCATGACGCAGGATGGACGATGTGGGGAACTACAGGCTGTCCGGTATCATTACAGCTGAAATTCAGATATCTCATAACTCAGCAAACACTACTGACTTCTAGAAAACTATCATAAACATAACAGAAATGTAAAATATTAAAGTAACAGTTGGAAAAAACGTGAAATTTAAAAAATCACATAGGCTTGCAATAAATCCAGGAATTAAAACTACAGAATATTCATGTTACACATCAAATAGTTTCAAAAAGAAGCTTGCCCCAAGACGCAAACTGAGGGCTCAGGCTCCAACATGGCTGCGCCCCACAGAGGCCACCACCCGCCATCTACGGCTACAGACACACCTCTGCTCTTAATTCAGACTCTGCAGAAGTTCAAGTCCAAGCAGGAGGGAACCATCCTTACAAAGCAGCAGGGCAGCCCCAGGGAGGTGTGATCCTCAACCTCCATGTCGTCATCTTTACTTTCAACACCTAAAAACCTAATCCCATTACAATTTACTAATGAGAAGACCACACCACCACGAGATCTGCTCTTTAAAATGTAATTAAAAACAGTAAGAAAGGTCTAGGCCATTCTGGATAATTTTCAGAGGAACCCGCTGTCTGAAAGAGAACTATCCCAGGCAGAGTGGATAGCATGCTGTATGCAAGAGCTGGGCACCCCGACTCGCTTTCTTCCTCTAGGACCTTGAGGAAAGATGGATGACATCATCAAGAAGCTAGGGACTAAAGGCATGTCCCAAAGAAGGGGGAGATGGGGGACATGCTCAGGAAGGTCTCCTCTGAACTTGGCCTATACTGCCTGTGGAGTTCAGTATAATTCCAAAAGCGATTATTGAACATATATTAGGTACTTCAGGAGACAAAGACATTCAGAGCTGAGAAAGAAAAATTACGGGGGTCAAAGTGCTTTAAAACTAATGAAACTAAAACTAATGGGAGATAAAGACTACAAAAACTGCAAAATGCTTAGTGACTTAAAGTTGTTAGTGAGAAAAGCTGACGAGTTAAGTATGTGCCATGCACTATAGAATATTAGATAGCCATTATTTAATGCTATGAGCAATTACACTTGTTGAGTATTATTCTAAGTACTTCAACATGTATCAACTCATGTAATAAAGTAGGCACTATTATTATTCCCGTTTTACAGATGAGGAAACAGAGACATTAAGTTACTTGCTCAAGGTCACACAAAAATGGTAGATAAAAAAGCCCAAAAAGTAAAAGAATGACAAAAATTAATGCAATGGGCACTTATGTTCTATTGCAAGAAGTAAAAAAGAGGGTTTCCAGAAAGAAATAAAATTTAAGAAGGGCCCTGAAGGCTGCTCAGAGGTGACTGAATAGGAGAGCAAAGGGCAAATATTTAGGGGGAATTAGGAAGGAGTATGCAAATTAATGTGTCAACAGAGGAGCAGCAGGAAATTATCCATAAGCCAGGAAATTATCAAATGACATTCACTGAGGCACTTTCTCCAAACTGCTGCTTAGAAAAAATATTATCTGTTGTGCAGCAAGACCCAAAGAGATGTCCTAAAGCAGTTTCTTAAACTCGAGTCAGCATCTGAATCACCTGGAGGGCTTGTTAAACTCCAGTCTGCTCCTGAGCCTCACCCCCGAAGGTTTTGATTTGGGAGGTGGGGTGGGAGCTGGCATCTGCATCTCTAACAAGCTCACTGGTGATGCTGCTGCTGAGCCAGGTTCAGTGGTACCTGGTTTTCAAATGTAATCTGCTCCGGAAGACTGTTCGAGTTCTGAAACGTTTGAAAACCGAGGGATCCACAGCCGACGGCTAGGCCTCAGGATCTTGCCCTCAATGGAAGCCACGTGGCACGTTCCACTTCCGAGGCGTGTTTGAAAACGGAAATGTTTGTCAACAGAGACGTTTGGAAACTGAGGTACCACTCTACTTTGAAAACCAATGCCCTCAGGTGATGATGGTCCTCAGCCAGACTTTAAAATCACACATGCCTGGACCCCTCTCTTGTAGATTCTGTTTCATTTGGTTTCGAGGTGGGCGCAGACAGCTGCAGTCTTAAGCCAACAGGCAATCCTGCTATTCAGCGGAGAACCACACTCCTAAAACCCGACCCTCCCAGGGTTTGTAGGCTTTACGGTGGGTGGGTAGGGGTGCAGTTCCAAGTAGGGCACAGCTAACTCCAGCTCCGTCCCTCACTACACTGAAGAACTAGAGAATTCACCATGCCCCGCTTTCTCTTACAAATAAAACCACCAAAGGAGGGGAAGTCACCAGGAATTCCGAAGAACGAATAAGCACTATACAGGCTCCCAGCAGTCAGGCTGTCAGCGCTGGCTCTCTATGTGCAGGTTCTGTTCTAGGTCTAGCACGTGGCCGTGAATCAGAAAGACCGGGCTCCGCTCTCGGGGAGTCCCATTTAGGCGAGACCACAGAACGCCCTCTCCCCAGTGCCTACGGTGAGGGGGTCTCTGGGTGAGGCAGGAGGCTGGAGTTATAAATCCTCAATACGTCAACGTAAGCAGCTGCAGTGACTAAAAAAGACATATTGCTTTCCTCTCCAGCACAGTGGTTTCTCAGCCCAGGAAGTACATTAAATTCCTCTGGAGAGCTTTAGAAAAACACTCATGTCAGGGGACGCTTGGCCGCATCTCTGGGGCGAGCCGGTTTCACAGTGGCCCAGGTGATTTTAGCGCGCAGCTGGGTTGGCGGCTACTGCGTCGCTGTCTGCGTCCCGCAGCGGGCAGATTCACCAGAGGGCTTCCCCGCCAGGGTTTCACAACCCACCACGTGCTTCAAAGTCTAGATCAACACAGGGTACTTATTTCTGTTCTTATGAGTGCCTGTTGTCCGCAGGACACAAAAAGCTCTTTGATGGGGTTCCTCAGTCTGAGATTTAGCAACCTTCCCCTCTAGGGGAGCACTTTCCTACGTGCAATTTCAATTTTGATTGCTTTGGGTCTCTTCCTATCTTTCCTGGAAAGCCAAGTGTTGTCACTAAAGAATCGAGTCTCTCCTTTCGTGGCACCATCTTATTTTTCATAAATTAGGTGATTTTTGCAAACTCTTATTAACAGGAGTTTTCCCAGCCCTCCTAGTTTGGAAAGTCTTTAGATTTTCCCATCAGTACAGTCATTCTAGTCACCCAAGTATGTGTGACTGATTCTTAACATCCAATTTAATTTCGTTCTTGAAATTAACTTCTTTAGAGCAAGGCAGTTTCTAGCCTTCAAACGACTGACTAACTGGCTGAACCCACTCAGAAGGACACTACCTCCTGCTGTGCTAAGTCCTGTTCAGTGGAGAAACAGTTCCCAGGTTTGGAGTTCAAAACAATGTGGCAGATTGGAGTAAGCTGCCGACTTAGGCATTTTATGTTGTAAAGCAAGGATGTTAAAAACTTACCATCTACTGTCATTTCATGAAAGAAGGGCTAGCTTCACACCAAAAAATAGTAAATTCATAGTGTTATCATAAAGAACAATTCTTTAAGTAAATTTGGCTTTAAGAAAAATCTGCCATAGTGTCATTTTGCTCGAGTTTTATTCTGGAAACATCACCAGGGACCAGCATTAGGGAACTGCAGCTTTGGGGT